TGTACATGTATATGTATATATGTATATCTTAAGTTTAGAAAGTATTCTATTAAACTAGTTTACTTTAAATCATAACTATATTTTGAATCATTATTTTATAATTTAAATAGTTATGTTACTAAATAAATAGGCTCGTTAATAAATTTATACCAAATTCATTTTTAAATCAATTTGCTATTATTTAAATTGAACTCTTTTTCCATTTAATTTGGAAGAGCCAAATTTGGGCCCCTCACCTTATTCCTAATTCCCAGGCCCAAGTTTCCCTTCCCAAACCCAAATATACAACGGCCCATCCATTAAGCCCAAACCCAAATTAATATTAACCCGCCCAGCTCCCCAAACAGACCTGACCCAACCCGTTTCCCCCTTTCCTCTTCCCATCTTCCCCACGTCTGTTTCAGAAAACAGAATACACCAGAATTCCCAAGAAACAGATGCGCGACTTGCCCAAACGCGACGGAAAACCCCTCTCTCACCCGCGTCTCCCCCCCCCCTCCACGCTCTCTCCCTCTCTCCCAAACTCCCTCCCTCGCGCAGAATCCCCCAAACGAAACCCAAAAAAGGCAAAAAGAAAAAAAACGCAGAAGAGGCAGACCCCAAAGCGGAAAATCCCCCCCAGACGCGACCTCTCTCCCCTTCGCTCTCCTCCTCTCTCTCACGCGAGCTGCAACAGCTCTTTTCGAGTCATTTTTTTGCTGCAAATCGTACGATTCACGCAGGTCAGGCAGCAAAGGAAAGCTTCTCTTGTCCTTGCCACGCCAAGATGACTCCACGTCGCCCGCCTAGGACACTCGACTGATCTCGACCGTCTCTCCTTCCTTTCCGTTTGTGGAATGGGAGGAATTTTCAGAAAAAAGGGATGCTACTCTGTTAGGGGAAAAGGATTTCGAATTTGAAATTCAAAATGGGCCTCAAGTCACGTTCCCGCCCTCCCTCTTTTGAAAACCCTAATATCGCCCTATATAAACCCCTTCCGTCTTCAAGAAAAGGGGTTAGAGATTTTTATCAAAAATTTCAGAGAGGCAGAACTTGGGTTTGGAATTTCGGACGAAAATTTTAGTTGGAACTTGGTCGAAAACATCGTTTGTTCGGTCTGTTCTGGGGTTGGCGATTTGGGTTTAAAATCTTGGACAAAAATTTGAGTTGAAATTTCGTGTCTACTGTTTAGCTAGGAAGAAGAAGAAGGAGTGCTTCCCTGCTGGTTTCGTGTGTGGAATCGCCCCTCTACTCATCATCCCGTTCGCTGCTCCGAAGAAGGTACGTTTCCCACTTTGATTAGTTTTCATGGAACTCGAAATGTGACCTGTGTTGCTGTAATAAGATGGCATATCTGTCGGTTTTGCCCGAACTCAAGAATATCGCGTATGATGGCTTATTTCGTTGTGCTTGCCTGCTTGTGTTGATATTTTTTTAAAGTTCGTCATGGTGTACTGCGAGCTGTAATTCTGTTCAGTTGTGTATGTTGGCTGGTTAGTCGTTGCGTTGATTGTTGCAATGTTATCAACCGAATTTTCTGTTCATTTGCATGATTGTTGATTCGATTTCGTCAATCTTTCTGAATGTGTTGTTCTCTTGTCATGTTGTCGATCTGTTCATGTTGTTATGGACGTTGTCATTTCTCTTGGTGTTAGCTATTGGTTTTCGACGAGGTAGATGGGAGCTTTGAATCCATTTCCCATTCTTAAAGTTTTATTCATGTTTCTTTAAGTGTTGAGTCATGTCATACGTCAAATCGCTTATAAATGGTCTCAGTTGTTGGTTTAGTTTGATGCCGGTCAAGTTGGTTGAAATATCGCTTTGGTTTGTTTATACTCTTGTTTTGATCAGTTAGCGATGTTCCTTTCATCGAAATGGAGAAATCGAAATTCGTGTTTTATCTCTTGTATGGTTAGTTGATGTAGTAGTTAGTTTCCTCCGAATCCCACGATCAGGCTACTATCTAGCATACCCTATTTCATCTTGTTTCATTGTCGTTTTGTTTGTTTCCTTAAAGTCAGTTATGTATGTCATCTGGATTGTCGCGGCTGTATATTAAAATTTGTATGATGACGAATGGGTTTAGCTAAGTCATTTTTTATCAAATGCACCAAATCATTTTCGAATGTCGAGGTATTTTCCCTTTTTTTATTTCATGGGGGTAGAGAAGCGGTTGTTTGAGTCTCTTTATCATGAGGCTCAACCTTTTGCTTGCCTCTCTTCTGGGTTCATCTGTAAACAATTTATGTATGTAGGTGTGAGCAGTAGGTACTTAAGTTGAATATGCCTCTTCAAATGTATAAGCTATGATTTTAATGTTTTACTGTCCCACCATCTAGGCTTGTGTTCTGATGATTGAAATTGTATTCATTCTTGGTTTTCCAAAATTTTAGGAAGTTCTCTTGATTGTTTCGTCTTGAATAATGCTAGTAGTTGGATTTACCTGCCCATGTCTCTTCTTTATGTGACTTAAGTTAAAAATAGTATATCATTGTATGTATTTTCCGTTGGAAGTTGATTATTAGACTTAACATCTAAAGAGTTCATGTTCTTTTCTTACTTCTTTTGTGTTTAATTTCATGTGAAATTCCTTCCGAGTCCATTTTAGGATTCCACTCCGTTCTTGCATTGCAGGAGAGCCATAAAGGCTCAGAAATTTTGTCCATCGAGTCAACCCGTCGAAGCCAAGGATCGCGAAGACGTATTGAAGAGTTGAAGAAAGTCAAAGAACGGATTGGAAGGCTTCTCCGTTTTTTTTTTTGCATTTTATTTGTAAAGGGCATAAGCCCTCTTGTCGTTTTTTTTTTACTTTCTTATTTTATTTTGTATGTTTAGAATAGGACAAGTACAAAACGGGTCAAATACCCATAAGCAGGTGGGTCTAACATTCGGTCAACGCGAACAGAACCCAAGTTGGACCCAAATCTCTCTCTCTCTCTCTCTTTCTCTCTCTTTAATATTCGCTTACATATTTGCTCAAATTTCGTTAGTTTTAGGATTAAAATAACTCCAAACCCCGCCGAACACCTTTCATTTTATCGAACTTAAAAAATTAAAACTGAATCTTAAAAACAATAAATTTCAAATTTTGCAAGTTTGTTTAGAGTAAAAGTTTAAAGGGTTCGACTAAAACAAAATCTCAAAATGACAGATTGTTTAAAATTCATGACATGTTAAGATGAAACTTTAAAGAAGTTCAACTTTGGAATAGATTCGCAAATTACAAGATAAATACAAAATATTTCAACTTGTGAATTTGGCTAAGTAAATTCAAATAAAATTCAAACTTCAATTCGCAAAGGTTAAAACAAAAATAGTCAAATAAGTTAATCGTCAGAAAACCGTAAGTTAACGGAGTGTCTTAGGTGCCTTACACCTTCCTAAGATACTCATAAGAATCCCGAACCCCCTAAAAATAGTTTCAAAATAATTTTTCTGTTTAAGTTGTTTTGGAAATAAGTTTTCTTGATTTTTCTCAAAAAATTAAGTGGCGACTCCTAAAAGTCGAAAAAAAATACCTTCAAAATAAAATAAACTCTTTTCGAAATCATTTTTTTCGATAAAACAGAAATGGCGACTCCGCTGGGGAGTTTGGAGGATTTTAACCCTAAGATTAACATAGTTGATTATTTGTGATTAATTGTTTAAGTGTTTAAATTCTTTAGATTTTTAAACGGTTGCATGCATAACATACATACTTTCGTCAAACGACAGTTGTTACATTTACACTTAAAGGACGATTATGCGGGTTCGAAGTCGTTCGTTAACCAAAATTTTCTCGGGGCACCATGACGAGTGTAGTTGACTACTTGATAGTCAACGATCGTTAATTGTCCCAGCCCAAGTAGTCCGCTTGGGTTACTCATTCCACTCTAAATACAACCCACTCTTAGTTAAACTAGGATAGAGCAAAACCCAAATCTCAAAAATAGCAAATTAAGATGACCCGACACTCAAGGAGCGTCGGGCCCATTAGACGTTTATGTTTGTTGTTTAAATTTGAAGGATGTATCGGTTGTTTAAATGGCGCAATATATCCTTCAGATTGTTAGGCCTACCCTTGGCACAAAAGGTTCACATGCATGTTTAGGACTCGATGTATTTGTTTAATGTTTATATGTTTTCTTTGCCATATTATGTATTTTGTACTCCGGATATCCACTAACAAATTTGCCTTTGAGTTGTTTCACCTCTCAGGTACCTTTTACTGATCTATGTCGATAAAGCTGGCAGATCACCCCTACTTCACCAGATCAAAAGGTCCCGCAGATTCCTTCCCCAGACCAAACGCAAATACAGAAATGAGGGACAACAATGAACAAATCAGCCTCGCAGATGTTGTGGTGGCTCAACCCACCGTGGCAGAGCAGAATGATCTTATTGCGCAGCTGATGCAGGAAATAGCTGACATGAGGTTCGAGATGCAACGAAGGCAGGACACGCCTCCGCCCGGGTTTGGCCCCAACTTTCTCGACGCGAGACCTCCTACATACTTCCTCTCGTCCAACTCGGATCCTACTCAGCACCGTACATCGACATCCGTGCACAACCCGTCTAGGGTAGATATGACAACCCAAAACCCCCAATACGCGTCTGTCTCCTATCAAACTCCCTCACCACTTCCAAACAACCCCCCATAAATGCCACCACACCCCCAAAATATTCAAACAGCCACACCACCCAAAAATCAGAGCCAAAATCCCACCGCCTTCAACTCCCAAACACCACATCCCCACTTAACTCAAAATACCAATCCCCAAAATTATCCGCAAAACTATCAAACCGCACAGAACGTCCCAAGTCCTTCCATAGCCCCACCCCTCCCCAAAAGAACCACATTCCAAGTCCCCGTCCCGGTCGAGCATGAGGTGCACGGCTCCGAGTTGGACCATTACGAGGATTAAGAAAGAGAGTGGAGGGCGAGAGAAGAAGCGAAGGTAGACATAAAGGAAGAGATCAAAAGGGCAATGAAAGAATTGCAATGCACTCCAGACGTCGCCGGGTTAAGCTACGCAGAACTATGCATCCACCCAGACTTGAACCTGCCTGAAGGGTTCAAGATCCCGAAGTTTGATACCTTCGGAGGGGTGGGCAACCCCATGGCACACCTAAGAGCGTACTGCGACCAACTCGTGGGAGTTGGCAAAGATGAAGCCCTGCTGATGAGGTTATTCAGCCGGAGTCTGTGCGGTGAGGCCCTGGAATGGTTCACGTCGCACGAAACTCGACAATGGCCCAGTTGGAGCGCACTAGCTAAGGATTTCATCGACAGATTCGCATAGAACGTTGAGATAGTCCCTGATCGGTACTCCTTGGAGAAGATGAAGCAGAAACCCACAGAAAGCTATCGAGAGTTCGCGTACAGATGGAGGAAAGAGGCACCGAGGGTGAGGCCTACGATGATGTAGAAGGAGATTGTACAGGTGTTCGTGCGGGTGCAGGAACCCGAGTACTACGACAAAGTCATCTTATTAATCGGCGCCATGTTCGCCGAGATAGTCAAAGTGGGTGAGACTATCGAAGATGGCCTGAAGTCGGGGAAGATAGCCCGAGTGTCTGCATCGCCTGGATCTTCCGGACTGGTGAGGAAGAAGAGAGAGGAGGTTTCCGCTATATCATACGGGGGAAGAAAGGTCCCCAGAAATTTACTACATCCCCAAGGCTGCTCCAACCCTCCATCAAAGCCTCATCAAGCCGGCCGTCCACAATCAAATCATTCCGGCCACTACAATGCCACCCCCACTTATCCAGATGCCCATATTTTTTCGTATCAGAATACGCCCCAAATTCCCCAAAATTTTCCCTCCGCATATCCAAATTACCGACAAGCTTATCAAGTCCATCCCCCTTACCATAATGTCGCTCCCAGCTGCGCTACTGTACAACCAAGCTATCGAGCATCGTCCCCCGCATATCAAATATAAGCCCCAGCATATCAAAGCCCCCATCCAAATTACCAAGCCCCAATGCCAAACTACCAAACAAATCCCTACCCCAGAACCCAAGCTCCACGCCCAAATGCCCGCAGTTATGGACAAGTCCCTCTCCCTCAGAAGAGCGGGTATGATCCCTCTCACCCCAGGTTTGAGAAGAAGCCCTCCAAAAGCTTCACCGCGTTGGCTGAAAGCAGAACTAAATTGTTCGATAGATTATCCGCGGCTGGATACATCCACCCTGTGGGGCCCAAGCCCATGGATGTCAATTCCAGATTCTACAGACCGGAGCAGAGATGTGATTATCATTCCAACAGTGTTGGACATGATACAGAAGACTGTATCAATCTCAAGCACAATATCCAGGACTTGATTAACCAGTAAGTGGTCTCCCTTCAGGCTGCGGCGCCGAACGTCAATACAAATCCACTGCCGAATCATGGAGGTGGAAACATCAACATGATAGAAACGGACGAAGATGAGCATGAAACCAAGAGGATTACCCCTCTTGAGAAGGAAGACAGTGGGGAAGGAATCTGTGGCCTTTTCAAGGAGATTAACGCTGTTATCGAGGAGGAGGTCGAGTCAGCTGGCATTCGTGATGCTGAACCAGGGGAGATACTGCAGAATTGGACTTCCATGCCAATTTTGATGTCCCGGACTCTTTGGTAGAAAGGGATTATTTTGTGTATACGAAAATCGGTGGTCATCCGGAAGAGGCCTGAGACCCACCATTTCTGCATTTTCTTGATTTTGAATTTTGTTGTGATGTTTAAAAGGCGACATGGCCTTGTGCCATGACCCAAGTTTGCATTTTGCTCGATTTAAATGAAATCCTCCTTATTTTGACTTTGTTTATTTAATTGCTTGTTATATTTTACTTTCCTAATTTTGTCTGTTTATGATTTCAGTAACGTAAGTTACAAACCTGCCAATGTCATGTCATGTCATGAGCTAAATGAGCAAAATGAGGCAAATGACGATGAGGTTGACGACTACGACGAAGAAAGTGGAGAATCAGACTATGTTGTAGAAGAATTTTGACAGTTTGAGAATCAACAGAAACCGAATCTGGAGGAGACAGAAACGGTGAATTTGGGAGATTCAGAATGTGTCAAAGAGGTTAAGATCAGCACGCACTTGAATGAAACTCAGAAGGAGAGCCTGGTTCATTTGCTTGCCGAATACAGGGATGTGTTTGTGTGGGAAGTCGGTGATATGCAGGGTTTGAGTACTGATGTTGTATCTCATAAGCTACCTATCAACCCAGGGTTCGAGCCGATGAAACAAAAGACTCGGAAATTCAAGCCTGGATTGAGTCTGAAGATTAAGGAAGAAATCACCAAGCAAATAGAGTCTCGATTGGTGGAAGTAACGCAATATCCAACCTGGTTGGCCAATGTCGTTCCGGTCGCCAAGAAAGATGGAAAAATCAGAATCTGTGTTGATTATAGAGACCTCAACAAGGCCAGTCCAAAGGATAATTTTCCATTGCCTAATATCCATATTCTGATTGACAACTGTGCCAAACATGAGATGCAGTCATTTGTGGATTGTTAAGCGGGTTATCACCAAATTTTGATGGATGAAGAAGACGCAGAGAAAACAGCAATCATTACACCTTGGGGTGTGTATCACTACAGGGTCATGTCGTTCGGCCTCAAAAATGCCAGTGCCACTTACATGAGAGCCATGACAACTATCTTTCACGACATGATTCAGATGGAAATTTAAGTGTACGTGGACGATGTCATAATCAAATCCCGCGAGAGTTCCGATCATGGGACGCACCTGAGAAAATTCTTTGAACGTTTGCGTCGGTAAAACTTGAAGCTAAATCCCGCCAAATGCGCTTATGGAGTCCCAGCTGGGAAGTTGTTGGGGTTTATAGTCAGCAGAAGAGGTATTGAGCTCGACCATTCCAAGATCAAAGCGATTCAAGAGTTACCTCCGCCGAAAACGAGAAAAGAGGTGATGAGTTTCTTGGGAAGGTTAACTATATCAGCCAATTTATAGCACAATCGACAGTGGTATGTGAGCCTATTTTCTGGTTGCTGAAGAAAGACGCTCCGACGAAGTGGACCGAGGAGGGACAGACTACTTTCGACGCTATCAGGAGCTACTTGTCTAACCCACCAGTATTGGTTCCTCCACAAGAAGGGAGTCCGTTGTTACTATTTTTGTCAGTTTCAGATAGTGCATTTGGATGTGTACTTGGTCAACACGACGAGACAGGGAAGAAGGAAAGGGCTATCTACTACATCAGCAAGAAATTTACTCCGTACGAGTATCGCTACACTTTGCTGGAGAGAACATGCTGTGCTCTGACGTGGCTTGCCCAGAAGCTGAGACACTACTTGTCTTCATACACCACGTATCTTATTTCCAGAATGGATCCATTGAAGTACATTTTCCAGAAAGAGATGCCGACAGGGAACTTAGCTAAATGGCAAATGCTATTGAGTGAGTTTGATATCGTGTATGTGACTCAGAAGGCAATAAAGGAGCAAGCTTTGGCTGATCATCTTGCGGAAAACCCCATTGCAGAAGAATATGAACCACTTAAGACGTATTTTCACGATGAAGAAGTGTCATTTGTGGGTGAAGATATCTCTGAAGGTTATCCAGGTTGGAGATTATTCTTCGATGGAGCGGTGAATCACCAGGGTAAAGGTGTTGGAGCAGTCTTGGTATCAGAATCTGGTCAGCACTATCCTATGGCGGCTAAGTTATGATTCAACTGCACAAACAACATGGCTGAGTACGAAGCTTGCATTCTTGGTTTGAAAATGGTCGTTAACATGAATGTTTACGAGTTACTGGTTATTGGAGATTCAGACCTTTTGATTCATCGGGTTCAAGGAGAATGGGTTGTGATGAACCTGAAGATTGTACCTTACGTTCAATATGTGCAAAATCTGTGTAAAAGGTTTCGCAAGATCGAATTCAGACATACTCCCAGAATACAGAATGAATTAGTCGATGCTCTTGCCACCATCACTTCAATGATCAAACATCCAGATACTGATTACATCGATCCGCTGGATATAGATTTGAAGGAACACCTAGTCTATTGTTCACACGTTGAGTCCGAACAAGATGGTTTGCCTTGGTATTTTGACACAAAGAAATACTTGGAGTCTGGGGCATATCCAGAAGACGCTACATCTAATCAGAAGAAGTCGATACGTCGTATGGCTCTCAATTTCTTTCTGAATGGAGAAGTCCTGTATAGGAGGACTCTGGATTTGGGTCTTTTAAGATGTGTGGATGCTGCTGAAGCTGTGAGGCTTATTGAACAGATACATGCTGGAGTTTGCGGTACACACATGAATGGACTTACTTTGGCGAGAAAAGTTCTTCGAGCTGGTTATTTCTGGATGACTATAGAGAATGACTGTTGCAAATTCGTGCAAAAATGCCACAAATGTCAAGTACACGGCGATCTGATACGGGTGCCACCTCACGAACTCAATGCTATGAGCTCGCCTTGGCCATTTGTAGCTTGGGGAATGGATGTCATCGGTCCTATAGAGCCGGCCGCTTCTAATGGACACATATTCATTTTGGTTGCCATTGATTATTTCACCAAGTGGGTGGAAGCATCCTCTTACAAGTCAGTAACCAAGAAAGTGGTGGCCGATTTTGTCCACAACAATCTGATATGCAGATTTGGAGTTCTAGAATCCATCATTACTGATAACGGTGCAAATCTCAATAGTCATCTGATGAAAGAGATATGTGAACAATTTAAGATTTTTCACCAGAGGTCAACTGCTTATCGCCCTCAAATGAACGGAGTTGTAGAGGCCGCCAATAAGAATATTAAGAAAATTTTGAGGAAAATGATTGACAAACAGCGAGGTTGGCATGAAATGTCATCATATGCTCTACTAGGTTATCGAACAACGGTCAGAACATCGACTGGGGCTACTCCATACTTGCTAGTATATGGAACAGAGGCAGTCGTACCTGTTGAAGTCGAGATACCGTCATTGAGGATCATCCAAGAAGCTGAGTTAAGCAACACTGAGTGGGTTAGCAAACGGATTTATCAACTAGCTTTGATTGATGAGCAGAGGATGGTCGCTGTTTGCCATGGCCAATTGTATAGACAGAGGATGACTCGCGCTTTTCACAAAAGAGTAAGAGCCAGAAATTTTAAAGTTGGTCAGTTGGTTCTTAAGCGTATTTTTCCTCATCAAGACGAGTACAAAGTAAAGTTCGCACCAAATTGGCAAGGCCCCTACATGGTTCGTAAAGTACTATCTGGAGGTGCTTTGGTCCTGTTAGAGATGGATGGCGCTGTATGGCCCAAGCCTATCAACTCAGATGTTGTCAAGAGATACTATACGTGAAGTTCCATTTTTGCATTTTTTCGGTTATTTACTTGTAATCGTTATGTCTGCTTGTATTTGTTCAATTTGAATTATTATCTCTCCTTGTAATGAACTACGTCTGACCTGAATTCTCGAGAACGAGATACGTAGGAGGCCTATGTCGGCTTCGGTCACCCCATTTACCCCCTTAATTATTTCTTTGTATCTGAACTACGTTCGACCTGAATTCTCAAGAATGAGATACGTAGGCGGCCTTTGTCGGCCTCGGTCCGTTTTCTTTGTAAATTTTATTCTTGTTAACCTTTAAGGGGAACTACGTTTGACCAGATTCCTGCCTCAATGGGACACGTAAGCACCACAAGGGCTCGGTCATATATCTCGTAAGTTCTATTTCCCCTTTTTACAATAGAAATAGGGACAGAATGTTTTGAGAGGGACTCAAAAATTCTTCAGAAGAAGTCTCCTCTTCAGCAAGCCAGACAAAAGACATTTTGAGATTTGCGACTGGGACAGAATTTTGAGAAGATCTCAAAAATTCTGCGATCTGTTCGGTTACAATGGAAAGATGAGCAAGACAGTAAACTGGGACAGAAATTTTGAGGATGGCCTCAAAATTTCGTCATGGATCTTCCCTACAAGTCCGGAATACCTCAGAAACTCATCAGCAAGTGTCAGATTAAAAGGAGCTCGAAATACTTGATATGACATGACTTGGCAACGACACTTTCAACATACTATTTCTTAAAGATTTCTCATTTATTTAAAAAATTTCCCTCTTATGTTTCATTTGTTTTGGCGTAAGATATCTTTTCTTATCTATCAAGAGTCGGGAAGTCGGGAAATCAACTGGAGATATCAAGACCAGGAGCAAGCAACTGGAGGAATCGACACAGATCAGTATGTTTTAAAACTAACAATTTTCTGTGGATGCAATTTTATATTTTTGCTTTGAAGTCGGCCGAATTATCCCGACGGATGAATACGGAGAGCTCCCGAAGAGGAGAAAACTATCTCCAAAATCAGTGATCTTACTAAAAGCAGGAGGCAATCCGTATAGTTTGTGCCAAGATGCTTGTGAATGCGTTTGTTTATTTCAAACCATTCTTAACAATGTGAAATTTGCAAAAGTGTCTAGACAGATTCAAAGGTGAATCAAACAGGAATCTCAGCAAAGATTTCACGATTTCTGTAGAAGACGCTATTTGCATTGCGTTATCAAAGCAAGATAATTATTGTCGATCAAGACAATGTATTACCTCAGAAGAGATGCTTATGCTATTATTAGTTTGCCATTATCGATCAAGTCGATATATTATTTGGAGATCGTCTTGATGTTACTATCCACGGGGGCGATATAAATATTCATGCATCGCGGAATTTATACACTGAAGAATCGTGCATCGCGAAAACCATGCATCGCGGGAGTCATATACTACTGAAGAATTATGCATCGCGGAATCATGCATCGCAGAATTCATGCACTGAAGAATCATGCATCGCGGAATAATGCATCGCGGAAATCTTGCATCGCAGAATTCATACACTGAGGAATCATGCATCGCGGAATCATGCATCGCAAAAATCATGCATTGCGAGTCGACAATCATGCACGATGAGAAGATTTCATGCCTCGTCAAAAATTATACATCGCGAGAAGATTTTATACCTCATTGGAATTTGTGCATCCTGAGAAGAATTTATACCTCGTTGAAATTTATACATCGCAAGAAGATTTTATTCCTCGCTGAAATTTATACATCACGAGAAGAATTTATGCCTCGCTGGAATTTGTGCATCGCGAGAAGGATCCATGCCTCGTTGAAAATCATGCATCGCAGAAAAGTCATGCATTGCGAAAATCATGCATTGCGAGTCAACAATTATGCACGACGAGAAGAATTCATGCCTCGTCAAAACTTGCACATCGCGAGAAGATTTTATTCCTCGCTGAAAGTTATGCATCGCGAAAAGATTCATATCTCGCAGAAATTTACGCATCGCGGGAAGATATTCATGCCCCGCAAGAGGACATACACGGATAAAGAAAGAGCTATATTTTTCCGTTGGCCTCAACCGCATTCCTTATTTTGATAAAAGAAAACATCAAGAAGAGCATCGAAGATAACGACAAAAGAGACATCAATATCGCATCAACATTTATTTTAGCATCGAACGAAGAGTACACTGAAGATTTTATTTACAAAGCACAAGGCATAAGCTTTATTTACTAGATGTCAGACCGATCGAGTCGACGTCGAATATTGAGGAGAACAATAAAGTGTCGACATGGTAAAAAGACACTGTCTCCCATCCTAATTGCATTCTTTAAGCGACGAGTTTTATCTCAGTCGAGAGCATCCAAAAGGATGAATTCTCCAAAAACCACAGGTGCGGACGACATCAAAAAGGATGCAACACAACGTGGAACTTTTTCTTAGCAGCGAACTGGGACATAGTCCAAAGAGGAATATCACACTCTTAGGACGCGAGCAGAGTAGCGACTTCCACCACGATCGAACCACCCCTCTCAAGGCATACGGGTTTTTTCTTTAAATTCTGCCAGTTTCAGTCACGCATCCAGAAGTTTTGATTCATCCGAAGCAAGTGTCCAATCTGAGTGACAACTCGCCAAGAGCTTTGAAAATTATGTCCGTGTAAGTTCTTACCTATGGATGTGGAGAGATCCACATTCATGGTTAAGAGGTTACAAGCCTCTTTTTCATACTCGTTTAAGTTGTCACTTGTCCAAAACCGAAGGTTATCTAGCATAATAAACTCCCTTATCCACCGATCGAGTCGAACTACACACAGCCTGATTTTGACGGTTTACGGATATGTAGGCGGATTTAATGTTGAAAACTCGGCTGTATTCCAACATTTGCTCTCGAATTTTGTTCTCGAGCATTCCGATACCTTTATAATCCGGTATCGAAGTGGCTTTTGATTTTTCAAAATCGTGCGGTAAATCAAGCTTATCAAACTACAAGCGGCCTTAATTCTCATATAGCATGAGATATGTAGGAAACCCGTTTTCAAGGGTTCGGCCATAACTCCTGAACCCTTTGTCGAATCCTTCCTTTAAAATGAATGGAGTTGGTCAAAATTGGTTCGGTCAATTTCATTTTTCTCGATTTTTGCATCAACCCAAGTAAAATGAGGGACAGTTGTTGACACCCAATTTTTGACCCACGTCGGTATAAATTGATTATCGAGCTTCCTAAGTTTTCCAAATGATTTGAATTAATTAGTTTTATAAATTTTTACGAATATAATGATATAATGCATGAACTTTAGGTTACGCCGATTACCTTTAGCATAACTTTAGATAAAGTATATATTTATTTAATTATGTGTATATATATATATATATGTATGTATGTATATGTCTATATGTATATCTTAAGTTAAGAAAGTATTCTATTAAACTAGTTTACTTTAAATCACAACTATATTTTGAATCATTATTTTATAATTTAAATAGTTATGTTACTAAATAAATAGGCTCATTAATAAATTTATACCAAATTTGTTTTTAAATCAATTGGCTATTATTTAAATTGAACTCTTTTTCCATTTAATTTGGAAGAGCCAAATTTGGGCCCCTCACCTTATTCCTAATTCCCAGGCCCATGTTTCCCTTCCCAAACCCATATATTCAACGTCACATCCATTAAGCCCAAACACAAATTAATTTAACCCGCCCAGCTCCCTAAACCGACCCGACCCAACCCGTTTCCCCCTTTCCTCTTCCCATCTTCTCCACGTATGTTTCAGAAAACAGAATACACCAAAATTCCCAAGAAACAGACGCGTGACTTCCCCCAAACGCGACGGAGAACCCCTCTCTCACCCGCGTCCCCCCCCCCCACGCTCTCTCCCTCCCTCGCGCAGAAGCCCCCAGACGAAACCCAGAAAAGGCAAAAGAGAAAAAAAATGCAGAAGAGGCAGACCCTAAAGCGGAAAATCCCCCCCAGACGCGACTTCTCTCCCCTTCGCTCTCCTCCTCTCTCTCATCCTCTCTCCCAAGCGAGCTGCAACGACTCTTTTCGAGTCGTTTTTCTACTGCAAATCATACGATTCGCGCAGGTCTGGAAGAAAAAGAAAGCTGCTCTCATCCTTGCCACGCCAAGATGACTCCATGTCGCCCGCCTAGGACACTCGACTAATCTCGACCGTCTCTCCTTCCTTTCCATTTCTGGAATGGGACAAATTTTTAGAAAAAAGGGATGCTACTCTGTAAGGGGAAAAGGATTTCGAATTTGAAATTCGAAATGGGCCTCAAGTCACGTTCCCGCCCTCCCTCTTCCGAAAACCCTAATATCCCCCTATATAAACCCCTTCCATCTTCAAGAAAAGGGGTTAGAGATTTTTATCGAAAATTTTAGAGAGGCAGAACTTGGGTTTGGAATTTCGGATGAAAATTTTAGTTGGAACTTGGTCGAAAACTTTGTTTGTTCGGTCTGTTCTGGGGTTGGCGATTTGGGTTAAAAATCTTGGACGAAAATTTGAGTTGAAATTTCGTGTCTACTGTTTAGCGAGGAAGAAGAAGAAGGAGTGCTTCCCTGCTGGTTTCGTGTATGGAATTGCCCCTCTACTCATCGTCCCATTCGCTGCTCCGAAGAAGGTACGTTTCCCACTTTGATTAGTTTTCATGGAACTCAAAATGTGACTTGTGTTGCTATAATAAGATGGCATATCTGTCGGTTTTGCCCGAACTCGAGAATATCGCGTACGATGGCTTATTTCGTTGTGCTTGCCTGCTTGTGCTGATATTTTTTTTAAAGTTCTTCATGGTGTATTGCGAGCTGTAATTATGCTCAGTTGTGTGTGCAGGCTGGTTAGTCGCTGCGTTGATTGTTGCAATGTTATCAACCGAATTATCTGTTCATTTGCATCATTGTTGATTCGATTTTGTCAATCTTTCTAAATGTGTTGTTCTCTTGTCATGTTGTCGATCTGTTCATGTTGTTATGGCCGTTGTCATTTCTCTTGGTGTTAGCTACTGGTTTTCGACGAGGTAGATGGGATCTTTGAATCCATTTCCCATTCTTAAAGTTTTATTCATGTTTCTTTAAGTGTTGAGTCCTGTCATACGTCAAATAGCTTATAAATGGTCTTAGTTGTTGGTTTAGTTTGATGTCGTTCAAGTTGGTTGAAATATCGCTTTGGTTTGTTTATACTCTTGTTTTGATCAGTTAGCAATGTTTCTTTCATCGAAATGGAGAAATCGAAATTCGTGTGTTATCTCTTGTTTGGTTAGTTGATGTAGTAGTTAGTTTCCTCCGGATCCCACGATCAGGATTCTATCTAGCATACGCTATTTCATCTTGATTTATTGTCGTTTTGTTTATTTCCTTGAAGTCAGTTATGTATGTCATCTGGATCGTCGCGGCTGTATATTAAAATTTGTATGATGACGAATGGGTTTAGCTAAGTTATTTTTTATCAAATGCACCAAATCATTTTCGAATGTCCAGTTATTTTCCGTTTTATTTTATTTCATAGGGGTAGCGAAGCGGTTGTTTGAGTCTCTTTATCATGAGGCTCAACCTTTTGCTTGCCTCACTTCTGGGTTCATCTGTAAACAATTTATGTATGTAGGTGTGAGCAGTAGGTACTTAAGTTGAATATGCCTCTTCAAATGAATAAACTATGGTTTTAATTTTTTACTGTCCCACCATCTAGGCTTGTGTTCTGATGATTGAAATTGTATTCATTCTTAGTTTTCCTAAATTTTAGGAAGTTCTCTTGATTGTTTCGTCTTGAATAATTCTAGTAGTTGGATTTACCTGCCCATCTCTCTTCTTTATGTGACTTAAGTTAAAAATAGTATATCACTGTATATATTTTCCGTTGGAAGTTGATTATTAGACATTACATCTAAAGACTTCATGTTCTTTTCTTACTTCTTTTGTATTTAATTGCATGTGAAATTCCTTCCGAGTCCATTTTCGGATTCCACTCCGTTCTTGCGTTTCGGGAGAGCCATAAAGGCTCGGAAATTCTGTCCATCGAGTCAACCCGTCGAAGCCAAGGATCGCGAAGAAGGATGGAAGAGTTGAAGAAAGTCAAAGAACGGATTGGAAGGCTTCGCCGTTTATTTTTTGCATTTTATTTGTAATGGGCATAAGCCCTCTTGTCTTTTTTTTACTTTCTTATTTTATTTTGTATGTTTAGAATAGGACAGGTACAAAACGGGTCGAATACCCAAAAGCAGGTGGGTCCAACATTCGGTCAAGGCGAACAGAACCGAAGTTGGACCCAAATCTCTCTCTCTCTCTCTCTTTACTATTCGCTTACATATTTGCTCAAATTTCATTAGTTTTAGGATTATAATAACTCCAAACCCCGCCGAACACCTTTCATTTTATCGAACTTAAAAAATTAAAACTGAATCTTAAAAACAATAAATTTCAAATTTTGCAAGTTTGTTTAGAGTAAAAGTTTAAAGGGTTCGACTAAAACAAAATCTCAAAATGATAAATTGTTTAAAATTCATGACATGTTTAGATGAAGCTTTAAAGAAGTTCAACTTTGGAATAGATTCGCAAATTACAAGGTAAATAAAAAATATTTCAACTTGTGAATTTGGCTAAGTAAATTCTGATAAAATTCAAACTTCAATTCGCAAAGGTTAAAACAAAAATAGTCAAATAAGTTAATCGCCGGAAAACCGTAAGTTAGCGGAGTGTCTTAGGTGTCATACACCTTCCTAAGATACTAATAAAAATCCCGAACCCCCTAAAAATAGTTTCAAAATAATTTTTCTGTTTAAGTTGTTTTGGAAATAAGTTTTCTTGATTTTTTTCAAAAAATTAAGTGGCGACTCCTAAAAGTCGAAAAAAAATACCTTTAAAATAAAATAAACTCTTTTCGAAATCATTTTTTCGATAAAACACATATAATTAATTATAACTTGAATTCACTTTAAATTGTGATTAATTAGGAATATGAGCTTGAAATGTTATTGACTTTAATTTAGTATAACTTCATTATTATTCTTATTTGAACTTTGATTTTATTTGAACTTAATTATAACTTTGTAATACTTTAAAATCTTTTTGACTTTAATTGATTTGAACTTATTATAAATTAATTAGAACTTTATCAAACTTAATTAATTCATAATTACTTAAAAACTTAATTTTGAATTAATATAAACTTAATTTTGATCAATTGTGAAATTAATATTGATTAATTAATTAAGACTTAACTTTGTAGGTCTTGAACTAATGGAACTTAATTAATCAAAACAAATCATATTTTGAGAACTTAATTAGCCTAATAAAGTATATTTTGAAGTTGAACTTACACTTGAACTTGAAATTATAACTTGAACTTGAAATTTGAACTTGAACTTAGAACTTGAACTTGAACTTAGAACTTGAACTTGAACTAAGAAATCAAACTTGAAATTAGAACTTGAACTTGGAACTAATTAGCTTGAATATATAACTAATCAAGTTTAGAAATTTTATATACTTACTAATTTAAGAACTTTTTGTGTTAGATAACTGAGAAAACTCAACGTCTAAAAAAGTTGACACAAGACTATATTGTTTCTTTCATCAAAGTAGGAGATAAGGTTGGTGCTTTTAAATCTAGTATTCATACTCAACTTTAATTTTGTGATAATTTTTTTGAGTCCATCAAGTATTTGTTAAGCATAAGTACCAACACTTGTTAACTGTATTGATAATGATATTGATTTTCTTGCAAAATTGATTTGTGTTTATCTAGTGTTGATATTAAGCTTCAATTTAGAAATAATGTGTTTGTTTAGCACAAGTACCAACACTAATTGATCCTATTGATGACAAAATTATTTTTCTAGCGAGATCGATTGTGTCCATCTAGTGTTGACACTTAGCTTTAAATTTAGAAATAATATATTTGTTAAGCACAAGTACCAACACTAGTTGATCATATTAATGACAAAATTAATTTTCTTGCAAGATCTAGTCGTGCCCATCTATTGTTCACACTTAGCTCTAAATTTAGAAATAATATATTTATTAAGTATAAGTACCAACACTAGTTTATTCTACATTGATTTTCTTGCAAGATCGATTTGTGTCCATCTAGTGTTGACACTTATATTCAAAAAGTCAAAACTAAACTAGTTAAAATTAAAAACTTGTTAAGTTATTTAAATAAGTTAAAATAAATAATATGGTTTAGTTGGTGGATTTAGTTGTTGGAATTAAGTTAAAACGAAACTAGTTAAAATTGTTAATTGTGTCAATAATCTCAAATAAATATGTGGTTTAGTTGGCGAATTTAGTTGTTGTATTAAGTCAAAACTAAACTAGTTAATGTTTTTAATTTTTTTAAATAATTTATCATAAATAATGTAATTTAGTTAGTGGTGTTAGTTGTTGAAATTAAGTCAATATCAAACTAGTTAAAGTTAAAAAGTTGTTAAGTTGTTTAAATAAGTTAAAACAAATAATGTGGTTTAGTTGGCGAATTTAGTTGTTGAAATTTAGTTAAAACTAATTGAATATCTATATTTTTGTAGATGTATCATCGTTTGTGGATATGATATGCAAAATGAAACTTGTGTTTGTTTGAAACCTGAGTTTATTGACGGTGTTAGAAATCTTATTAAATATACAATGACGCTACGCATTTTCAAGTATAATGAATTGGTTAGCTGTCTTTCTAGTGCATGTAAGTACTTAAATTTTTTTGAACCAGATAGAGTTATGGTTCACTTGTACCATAATGGATTTAAGCCTAGATATTTTGTATGGATTGATCACGGAGAAAGTGATGGATTGGATGGTATGTTTTATAATTCGATACTTGTGGATGTATATAACATGGTTCCACTTGATGGTCAAATTAGGTTGAACAGGTTAGGGTTGAACATGATAGGGTTCATGAAATGATCCATGATACATTCGGCGTTCAAGGTGGGATGGAACTGGAATAATATTTTGATGAAACTCCTAATGAAGAAGCAAGACGCTTTTATGATCAATTAGAAGAGTCTAGTCATCCACTATGTGAAGAGAGTCTGCATTCTGTCTTGTCAGTTGAGGTTAGATCAATGAATATTAAATTAAATTAAAGGGAAATGACGTAAATCACACTTTTAAGTTCTCTTATTAATATTATCCCCTATTAGTTTTACAAATCCCCAAAATTCCTCTTTTTCATGCATCAGATTAATGTATCTCGCGCATCAGATTAATCTATCTCGTGCATCAAATTAGTGTATCATGTATAAAATGTACATCAAATTAGTCTATCATGTATAAAATATAATGTATATTATTCAATGATTAATATATCTTGCACATCAAATTAATATATTAGAGCTTACATTATTGTATCAGTTTGAGGGATTTCTGTAATTATAAACTTATAAAGGACAAATGGTAATTTGTCTTAAAAGTATGTGATTTATGTCATTTGCCCTAAATTAAATTGGAATATTCCTAATGCGTCTATGGACTCAATAATTGATCTTTTGGGTGAATTAGTTAATTCGGAGTTTAACATATCAAAGAACTTCTATTACGCAAAGCGTTTGGTGTCCAAGTTAGGATTGATGTATGATAGAATTTATTGTTGTGTTAATGGTTGCATGTTGGTTTACAAGACTGATAATGAATTAGAAAACTATAAGTTTTGTGGACATGCTCGTTATAAGAGGACTCCAGCTGGAAAAATGGTCCTAGATTAGGCGATGCATTATCTACCTCTCATTCTTAAGTCAAAGAGGTTGTATGATGCATTATGTACCTCTCATTCCTAGGTTAAAGAGGTTGTATGCATCAACGAGATTTTCCCCACACATGAGATGGGATCGTGAATATAGAAGGTCGTAGAGTGTCTTGCCTCATCCATTTGATGGTGAATGATGAAAATATTTTGATAATGTATATCCTAGTTTTGTTAGTGAACCAAGAAATGTTAGATTGGTGTAGTGTTCACATGACTTTACACCATTCTCTAATACAACTTCACCTTATTTATGTTGGCCGATATTTTTTACTCCGTATAATCTTCCTCCTAAAATGTGCATGATCAGTTCCTACATCTTTTTAAGTTGTGTTATTCCAAATCTCCGTAATCCAAATATTTTGATTGATGTCTATCTAAAATCATTGATAGATGAGCTCAAAAAATTATGGTTTGAAGGCGTTTTGACTTATGATATATCAACTAAGCAGAATTTTGTTATGTTTTCTTCTTTAATGTAGACTATTAATGATTGTCCTGCATACGGGATGTTGTCTAGTTGGATGACAGTTGGAAGATGACGTTTTTTATGGCCTGAAAAATGGTTCTTGAAATTCTTTTTCTTATAAAACAATTTTTCGAGTGATTTTTAATTTTCTTTTCAATGACTAGATCCTTGTTGCATCGCTCTTCAAATCTAAGCACTCAACAGAAGACTGAAGAGAGTTCCACATCGAAATAGACGCTTCTTGATACGGACATATTTAGAATTTCGGCAAGATTAACTATATAAAAATTTTACAATGCTAAAAAATTTAGAAAATCTCAATATAACACACTTGAAAATTTTGAAAGATTAAAGGGAAAAAAAAGAGAAAAAGTTGCAACATCAAAAGTGTAACCGATAACTACTTTGAGATATGTTACTCAAAAGGACAAGATAGATATAAGACTTAAACTTTTTATCCTCACTTAGAGAGGTGTACCTAATCGTCATCAAATTATTATATGATACTTCTAACGTGAGTTCACATATCTCTATATAAATTGAATGAAAAGGAGGCCGATATGACGTATTACTGAATAAAAAATTATCGTTCTAAGAGTCATACTACAATCAAGGTCGTTTGGTAGGCAGTATTAAAAGAAGTAGTTCATGTATTTTGACTATAGTATTATTTAATACTGTGTTTGGTAGAAATTTGACTCTATGTATACCTAAACCATGAAATAGTTATACATCCTATATGATATTATAGGATGCATTACTAATATCTTCTATTTGAAGGTATTAGTAATACATAGGATATAATACCATGGTTTAATGACCCAGAAAGTCATTTTAAGAAATTTTTATTATCCATTTAACTAAAGTGAACTAACTAATGGTTAATTATTAAATAACTAACTTTAGTAAATGCTTAGTGAGTTAAAATAAGTTAAAATATTTGGAGTATAATATATGGGTCACAACTGAAAAGGAAAAATGAAAGAGAATGTGCTACTATTGGAAAAAAAAAAAGGGAGGACTCACCACGATAGAGAAACAGAGGAAATCGAGCGAAATTGGTAAAGTAAAACGTTTCTTTTTCAATGTAATCGTTATTTTTGTCGCATTATTGCTTATTGTTAATCTTATGTGTATTGTCGGAATATTGGAAAGGAGAAAAAACTTGTCACAAATGGAAAAAAAATAGCTAGGCCATACTGATTTGTACTGCGTAAGTCCCTGAAAATTGTGACTAATTTTGAATAGCAATTAATGTGTAATGATTGCTAAACATGTGGATAACAATTAGAAACTTGGAGGGGTATATTCAGTGAATGTGTATGAAATTGTAGTGTTAGGAAGTTGTGCTTTTCCGTGAATGAGTGCTAATTTGATTTAACTTTTTATTATTATAATATTATGAGTTAAGTTTTGATATATTAACATAGGTAATTAAATATTAAATCTAACATATCATATGAATATTATTCAAATTATGATATTGGAAAAAGATGAGATTAACCTTAGACTTGAAACTTGAAAAATATGATAGTTGGAATGTTAATTGGCATCAAGCTTTTACAAATTTGATTACAAATTTGGGTCTAGGCTAAATCTATAGTAACAAGAGTGTTGTTAGTTTGAAATCTTAT